TTTTGAAGAAATCAAATAGCCATTCAAATCAAAAACATATACAGGGACAGTATGATGAAAACTGCAGCAGTAGAGTACAGAGAATTTTTCAGTAAATTAATGATTGATGAACTTCTTTAGTTTTGGATTATGTCCATTTCCCCCGCTACAAAATTTTCAATTTGCAATGGACTTTCACCAATTCAATTTCCAAGCAATGTGGGGACAAATCTCCCAGCCTTCCGAACTCTATCATCCACTCAAAATTTCTTGCGAGAAAAGAGACTCTGGGAAAAGTCACAACCCAAAAGATTGATTACTGTTTCATGTCAAAAGAAAAAGAAGTTGGGTTCATATCTTTGTATTTTCAAAGCAGAAAAGAAGGCAGAGTCTTGAGTTTGTTGCCAAACTTCATTCTCAATGTCAACCACTTGTCCCTACCTTGGCTGGAATTTCTATCCTCTCCAACCTTCATGCCTTTCATTCAATTTTTCTCACACTTCCCACTTGTAATAATTCAACACTCCCGTTTTTTTTTCTTTGGCTTCAACCGCATGGTCACAGCATGGGCATACACATGAAAATGGACCCACCGATGACTTGTAGCCACGTGTGCATGTTCAGGACGATGATGATCGATGGCCATGGTGGTATGATGGATGATGGTTTTTAACCATGCAAATTCTTAGCTGTCCATGTCATGGTTTTGGATTTCGCCATTTCGGTCCAGGCACCTATGTTTGTTCCTACTGTATTTATTTACCCTCGAGTCACATGGTGCATCCGATCATTTTCGTGTGGTCATTGTCCTTTCTGTTTGGATTGGTCTTTTTCTTTTTGAGTTTTAACATTGCAGCCATTTATTTCATTCCTTTATTATTATTATGAAAATAAAAAACATAAACCCTAGCCATAGTTTCTATTCTTGTAATTCTATGCATTTTCCGATTTCGCATTTAAGAGGTTTTGAATGAAAACACAAGGGAAATACCAAACTTACACTTGTGTTTCATTTTGTTGGATTTTTTAATCGAAAATAAATTTAATAATTTAAAATATAATATAATGATATGATAAAAAATAATATAAATAAATGATATAAAAAAATATAATTTAAAATTTTAACAAAAATTATAAATAAATTTAATAAAATTAAAAATATATAATTTATATTTTATATTAATACAAATTATAATACATAATTTTTATATAAAATATAATACAAATATAATATTTTAATGATATAATAATACAAATAAAATATCTAATAAAAAATTAGAGATACCAGCAAATTAATGGTGACAAAGATGGGACTGTAAGAGGGACCAGAGTGCACCAAGCGGGGACACAGCACAGAGCAAAACAGTCCAAAACATGCATATCTATCTAGAGATCATATTCCTAAGCTTGGAATACCATAAAAGGACTGTCAGAGAGAGACACCAAGACATTGAAATGATTTGAAAGAATACCATCTTTTTTATGTACAAAAGAAAACGCTATGGAAACCTAATTCATGTGGCTCTCCAAATCTTTGTCTGAGAGACATGGATAGTTGTACAAGTTGCCCCATTATTCTAATCGACTTGTTTGTGTTAGCCTTGTTTGTTTTCAAAAGAGATGATGATCCTGTTTTCAATTAAAATAAATTAAGTACCAAAAAATAGATAACAAGGTATCAAAAATTTGAGAGTTTTTATTCCATGCTTGTTGTATTTATTTATTTAAGAATTTAAGTTCAAAATTTTTATTTTTTGATATTAAATAAAATTTGAAGGAGATATTATGTTTCATGATATAGTTAACGAAAATTAAAATGAGTTACTAACACTCTGTTTGTTTGATTAGAGACAAAATGTATGCACAAATTGAAAATGATGGAGAAAAAATTGTTTTTATTTTTTTGGTTTGAAAAGAAATTGAAAGAACGGTGAGTAAGAAATATGCTATTATTTTAATCCTTTCATAAATGAAGGGAAAAGGAGAGAAAATGTATATATATATGATAATCTATTATTGAAATGGATTGGCCACACAAACAAGGTGCTAGAACTAATCAATGATCATTCAGCATCAGTATCAAAGAAGGGGAGGCCTTCCAGATTCAGATGACGCGGGCCTGGCAGTGGCATCCTCGAAGATCCGTTTGATGGGCTAAAAGCCTAAATCCCCAGCTGCTATACTTGACCAGATTGGACCACTGGCCTAATTCCAAACCCAAGTAAGGGCGACCACTTCCTAATTAACACTAACACTAATGTTTGTAATTGTACCATTCATTCTTCAAATTAATGTCAAGCCTCCAAACTTTTTATAAAGAAAATCGTAATTTAAAAAAATTAAAAAAAATTACAATCGTTGAAAATTAAATTTTAATTTTACAAAAATCAACCTCTTAAACAAGAAAGATGAAATTAACGTCAAGCCTCATTCTTTTCAAGTCAGTTTTTCAGTCTAACAAAAATGCTTAAGGATAAAAAATAACTACAAATTATCCAATAAAATATATTTGTTAATACACAAACAAAATTATTAACATATGACGTGACATCCGAATTTTTTCATTAGAAGAAAAGGATTCAAACTCGTTTCATTAAGTAAAAAGGATACCAAGTCATGGATCTTTGTCTATAATTATTTAAATGTTATTTGTTCTAATTTATAAATCTTAAATTACCACATTCTAATTTTTCTCTTACATAGTAGTTCATATCCTTTTTTTTTTTGTTTTTACAAAAAATTTAGAATAAATAAATTATTCATTTTCAGATCAAAATAAAAATATATCGTATTTAACAATTTAAAATAAGTGATAATAAATTATGTATTTTAGATGATTTTAATAAATAATCTTAAAATTTTTTCATAAAAAAATAAATTTTAACCAATTAAATCAACCAATCTATTTGTTCATATCAAATCATACCAAAAGAGGTGAAGGCAGGGCTCAGTTTTTGGTGAGTAAATAGAGCAGAAAATGAGGCATGTTGAAGTTGAAGCGCACACGTGGGAAAGTGAACCTTTTTTGTTGCAATCTCCTAACAAAACCATGTGAGTCCGTAGTAGCCATGGCGGTTCAGATTCCAGTGTCCCCATGCACAAAGACCCATCGCTATCTTGCTGGGCATGTTGGTCTTGAGGAAATTATTACTTACACTACCAAGTTTAGTTTTTAAGTCTTTCTCATTTGAAAACCTACGCTTTCGCCCTCATAAATTGCTTTGGTATTGCATTCAATACCAAGATTGAATTTGATTGAGAAATCAAAGAAAGAAAGAAAGAAAAAAATAGAGTTTAATGATAATTTTATTTCATTACGATTAATTTTTAAGGAAATATTATAAATTACTGCTTATAATTTACAGGCACTTGTTAAGATAATGTATATAAAATAAAAAATATATATCTCATAATCAGTTGCTGAAATTTGAAAAATTTATCAACAAAAATAAAAAATTATCATGTATTCTTTATTATTATATATTTAAAATAATTAATAAATTAATACAAATATAAAAGATAATATTTTAATTGTATTTATAAAATTTAAAAACTTCACCAATAATTCATAGAATAATAATTTATGAACTTTTATTTTACACATCATAAGTAATTATCATGTGTCTTTTCATTTATAATAATTTTAAAATCACCACCAATTGCGTGTAAGATTATTTTTTTAATTTATTATGTATTTTCGTGAATTAGATGAGAAAATTGCATTATATGAAAAATCACTTTCTAAAATACTGTTTAACTAACATTGATAAATGTTTATAGGCGCCGGTTAATCAGATCCTAAATTTTATGGGGTTGAACTTGCCGATGGAGTGAAACAGTTTGAGGGTGGAGAATGGAGAGGGTTAAGGTTTCAACGCAAGGGTGTAGTGCGTATGTTCCCTTCCAATGGTACAGGGCAGCCATATAGAAGCCTTGGGGCTCTCAGTTGCTTGCTACTCACTAAATGTTGTGTCGTTTGATTGATGAGAAAATGTTGTAAAAGGTGTCATCTCTTGCTTTGATATGATGTTCAATCTGCGAATATTATTATCTTTACAATTTTTTTTTTTTGAAATTGATAATTTTTTTAAATGAAATCTTTTTTCTTTTTAAATTTCGGAGAAGTCTTTAATTTTTAAATATAATTAATAATTATTTTTGGAGAACATTTCACTAATACTTTTTTATTATAATTTTATAATTATTCAGTAATAATAAAAAAGCATATAAATATCAAATTTTGTAATTATATATTTTATATAAAATTTTGATAAAATTCATATAACTTTAAATTATAATTAATTATATTATAATAATTATAAGTAATACTTCCTTTATCTTTTTTTTTTGGATGTCCTAAAATTATATATATATTTTATATTTAAAACTCTTATCTTTTTATCTTTTAAAATTATTTTTATATTTTCTAATTTTTAATTTTATAAAATTTTTTTAATTTTAATATTAAATACATTAAAACTGAAATTTTATTTAAATTATGTGAAAATTGATACAATCTATATAATTTAAAACGAATAAAGTATTTTTTTATACTTTCATTTCTACTGTGTTAACGAAATATAGACACTCATTCACCTTAAATTATAAGCGTCTTTCATGTCATTTCATCATAATTTGATTTTGAAAATATATTTGTGAATTGTAACCACGATGATTCTACTTTTGATGTAAAATTTTGCATAATCACGTGCTAGGATACCAATAGTTCAATTCCAAATTTCCAATACTCCTAAAAAATATTTTAAACATAAAAAAAAAAAAAGGAGGAAGTTGAAATGTTTGAGTTTGGCCAAGCCACCACACTAATTAAAATGACTACTTATTTCTCGCGGATATCTAAAAAGTTTAAATAACAAATGATGATTTAATAAAAAAAAATCGTATTTAACATATAAAACTAAATTATAACTTAATAATTTTACATTTTGCTATTATTATAACGATATAAATTAGCTGATGTAATCCCGAGCCCCCAGGGCCCAGACCCTAACTAGAATGACGACTTCTTTTTGTAGGGTAGGGTCGTGGGGGCATCAAAGCTAAAAGCAAAAGCTAACCCTATCTAGGATACTTGCTTTTGACTTCACCTCCCCTTCTTTTCTTCTACTTTTCACCACCAACAAAAATAAGGGTCTTCAAGCAAAATAGTATAAAAGAAAACCCACAATGTGCTTTCAAAAGGATCCTTCACTCCATAATTTTCCTTTTTTTTTTGTCCAAACCAAGAATCTATTAAAGGTGAATGACTAATGAGCAATGAAATATCCTAAACAAAACCAAAGAAAGACGACAACCGCAAATAATTGCCGGTTCTACGGAAAATCAAAACCAACATTAAAAACGAAACAAAAAGAGAAAAAAACAATGAAAAAAACAAACCCTTTTTCTACTTCATTTCATTAATCATGCCCTTTTCGCTTTGCAGTATAGACATTAACTTTGAAATTAAACTTTACAATAAAAGCAAAAGGGAGATTAAGATAATTAATTAGATATCAAGTGAACCACCTCTTTTCTTTTTCTTTTCTTCTCAAAACTCTAGGAAATTGGATAAACTTGGCTTTTAATGGGGGCATCATCCTTATACCAGGGGACATCACTGAGTCAAAACTAAGCTAGCTCCAAAAATTTTGGAACCTTTGGCAAATTCTTTTCCATTGAAAATCTTCTTCGCCGGAAAATCCTCATTTTATAATTAACAACGAAATCTGGTTTTGATCAATGCTCCCCAAACGTATAACACGCAATCAACCCCATAAATATTCTCCTCGTTCTGGCGGGAGAAAAAAACAGAAAACCTCACAATCCTAGAAGAATGTAGTACACGAGCGTTATAGGTAATGCTATCAGCATCCCAAAGATAACCCTGCAAATTTGCAAATCAAGATATCAGCTACACATAACAGATTTGATCACAGATAGAATTGATTTATTCTAGTAATTCAGGTTTTCACTTACGCAGTGCTAAGAATTGCCGGGTGAACGTTGTACTCTTTGGCAAACACAAACGGTACAATTCCTTGTGGCAGAGCAGCCTTATAAATTGGTCGAAATTAGTCAAGAGAGCTTTTGACATTCAAAGAAGCCAAATAGTTATGAAGGAAGGAGAGTTTTTTTACCTGAACAATGGCGGTGCGGAGGAGCGTGCCTCGCAACCCTACGGCAATTGAAGCTGCAGCCATGACAGCCGGACCAGTCAAGAACCTAACTGCCATGGCAAAGATAGCTAAAGAGTTCCCACAAGCGATGATCTTGGGTTGCAGAGCCATAAACAGACCTTTCCACCATACAACAACCAAAATTAGGACTTCCGTAGAAAACGATGCATCACTACCAAAACAACAAAAATTAGGACTTCCCTAGAACAACCAAAAGGGTGCATGGCTATGAGCTCTGCAACCATGCCGTTGCTTAGACAGGGTATAATCGCTACCAAAACTACATGCTCTACCACACCTTGGCGTGGTCTAGTAATCGTCACAGTTCCTATAATTCGTGGGTTTTTACATAGATCAAGTGCAACCGTGTTTAAAAAATAATAAAAATTAATTTAATTGATTCACATAATTATTTTTAAAAAATAACACAATGTTGAATTTAAATCTCAGCTACTTCTCTTTTGAGACTGCAGCATATTTTATATCAAAAAAGAAAAAAAGTGCTAATATTATTCCTTTAAGATAAAGCAAATAGCAGAAATGCTCACCTAAGCTAAACATGGCCATTCCTAGTCCAGCATCTGAGAGGATGGAGATAGACTTCTCTATTATTTTCGGCATACTCACATGCCACCTGCAATTGAAACCCCAAACCAGTCAATTTATGACACTGAAAATACAAAAAAAAAAAAAAAAGAAAAAACAAAGGACTCATTGTGTAAAGTTTGAACCTTAATCATTAAAAGTACCGCCAAAATGATAAACTGACCTAAAGGCAATTAGGGACCAAACAAGTCCAATGAGGCTGGAATATGTGTTGGGGTTTCGGATAAGCTTGCGCCAGACCATGATCAAGATCAGGCGGGTCATTACACTCGCCGGAGGCATTTGTTTGCCACCACCCAACGCAGGTGCTCGGGCGGCTTTAGGGTGCCGCTCAGCCATTGAACTGGACCCCAACTTATTGAGTCCATTGGGCCCTTCTTTTTCTTTCTCCTCCTCCGCATCTTTCCCAGCAAAGCTAATGTTCTCTCCATTAAAGTCACCACTGGCTGGCGTAGCTTCACACCAAAAGCAACAATTTTATTAAATTAAGTAATTGTTAACTAATTAGAAGCCTTAATAATTAACTAAATCATTTTACCTTTATTTTCCCCGTTTTGAGGGTGATCAGCAACCAACATCCTGATCTCTTTAGCTCCCTGATCAGACCGTCCAGATTGCTCGGAGTCTCCATAATCCGTCTCACCGAAGACGTGAAGTCCAGCGCCTTCTGATACCGGCGAAGCACTGGAACTCCACACAAACATGTGCAATTCCTTTGCATCATTATTCACTTTATTATTCTCCTGCTGCTGCTGCTGCTGTTGCTGCTGTGGCTGGCTATTTTTAGTGTTCTTTGTCACGGATGAAAATTCGGGATTTGGAGCAGGGTACGAGCTAGGAGCTGTCTGTGCTGGATAAAATCCAAATCTTGGAGCCACGACGGCGCAATTTTCTTCACAATTTGATGGTCTTGGAGTTGGTCCTCTTGAGGATTGAACAGAGCACAAATCAGCTGGACCGAAATTAGACTGCCTTCCAGGAAATCCTTGAATACCCATCATGGAATAAAAGTCAGAGTTGTTAAAATTGGAACCTCTTGGAGTTTGATTCCGAGAGGAGCTCAAGCTGTATATCTCAGCTCCAGTAAGGTTGGATGGCCTCGGAGTCAATGCAGTAAGCGAACAAGGCCCCAAGGACCTCCTGGAAGCATTAGATTTCCTCACAGTAACGTGAAGCTTCCCGTCTTCTCCAATTTCAGCGTCGGCTTCAAGAAAATCACGGCCATCAAGTGAAACCACATCGGAATCAACTTTAAAGGAAATTATGGAGGCCGCAGTTTCGGGAAACTGCTCCATAATAAGCATTTTGGCACCACGGTACTCGAAAAGGAAAAGAATAAGAGTGTACCAAATAATACACTGAAGAACCACGACCTGAACCATTAGCATTCCTGAATAGTTACCGTACATGGCGATTAATAGAGGAATGCCCATGACTAGAGTGTTGGGAAGAGTGGATAAAGAGAAAATTGTGATCATCCATTCCAGGCTTCCATTTCTAGTGAAATTAGTCCACAACCCAAGCACAAATAACATTATGATTTTTTGAAGGGTGTCAGCTGCGATGAACCTGAAGTTCATGGCGTAAGGGTCGTTGATCGAAATGAAATGGAAAGACAATAGAGGAACAGCAAATATGGCGACAAAGCGGTTGATTCCTGAGCACTGGTCAGGGGAGAAAATTTTCCACCAACGCACAGAGCCGTAAGCTAAGATCATAGCCACGTAAAGTGGGATCACCGCCGTTAAAACGGTGTAAAGATCTCCCCAAGTGATCATCTTTTTTGAAAGAGATCCCAAATATTTCTTCTTTCCTCGTTTTCTCGGTAAAAGCTGATCAAAACAGTAGTTTTTTTCGAAAAAGAAGATGTTGTTCAGAGAGGGCAAAATGGGTATAGTAAATAACCGTTATTCAACTAACTTAAAGAGGATAAAATCTGTGTGTTTCAAAGAGTCACAAGTGCCTGCTGCTGCAGCTGCACCTGCTTCTGAGACTTGTTGAAATACTGCAACTTTGCTGATATATAAATATGGCTGACGAAAGATAGAGTAACTTCACAGTATAAAGAGAGAAAGAGAATTATATGAGGGAAGGGAAAGGGAGAAAATAGGAAATAGTAAGAAGAAGAGGGGAAGGGGCGGTGGGTGATTGACGGCATTGTTGTACTGAAAGAAGGGGTAGGGGACCATTTGCGATTGGGGGAGAGCAGTGTGAACTTTGAAGCTGGGTTAACGGCCTTTGGACCCTTTTGGCACTTTGGGTTAACAAGTAATCTCGTTATGTGGTTAACTATAGATTATGGTGACATAAGTACAGGTGGCTCTTGTCAGTGGCATGGATTTCTACATGACATGGACAACCGTCATTTTAGTTTTTGCCATTTGTTTTCAATCTTCAATGATATTCATAAAACTTTTTTTTAATTATCTCTATGATTTTTTTAAAATTTTATTAGTAAATTGAAGTCGTCACGAATTTATTTAAAATATAATTCAAAATATACATAATAATTTTTTTTAACATCAATTATAAAATTTAAATATTTTATCGAAATGTATAAAATATGAATTCTTCTTTTAAATCACAAAACATAATCACTAAATTGTTCATTTAGATTAATAAAAAAAGAGTTTATTTTAAATTCCCAAAAATAAGAAAATCTTCAATTGGATTAATTTTGTATTAATAGATTTAATATTTTGAAATAATCATGGTATATAAGTTTGACACAAAATGTTAGACACAATAAACTTATCCAAAATAAATATCATGAATCTAATACATTTCTTGTCTTTAAATAAAAAAATTAAAATCATAATAATATATTTTATTAATATAAAAATCACTTAATTAAATCAAACAAATAAATAAACTAACAAATTAATATATAAGTAAACAAATTTAATATAAAATTAAATCAAACCTATATAAATTATTAGTATTTGAGTTTTGAAGTATTATTTGCATATAGATTTGATAATTTAAGATATGATACGGTGATACGAAAATAATATAAATAAAAAATATGAAAACGATATAATTTAAAATTTTAATAAAATTATAAATAAATTTAAAAAAATAAAAAAGATTTTATGTTTTCGTATTAACATGAATTATAACATATAATTTTTATATAAAAATGATATAAATATATAAATTATTAATATTTTATATGATATAAATACATAAATTATTAAAAGTATCTATATTGATATGAAAGTCTGATTCTAACAGTAAAGATCAAATTAACTTTTTGACTGGACTTAGATGCTGCTGAAGCTAAATAGTTGGAGGGTTGAAAATTATTTATCTGCGATCGGATTTCTTTCAACTTGACCCAACTTTTTTTTTTTGAATTAAATCGCTCTGGATATGGATATGTATCTTTCTTCTCCTAGAACAGAGAAAGTTTAAAGTTTCCATTGTTCCTCTTCTTGTGACTAATAGCAAAGTTTGGCCCATTAGGCAAACGTCTCAACATTCAACTATCAAATTGAGGAAAATTGGTTCCAAATAATCAGGTGTTGTGCCCTCCTTAAATCAGGGAGGAATTGATAATTAATTTGATGATTAGGGGAAAACAAATTGTTTCAAATTAATATATATATATATATATAGATGATTTCTTAAAGCCTCTTATTTGGTTTCTATCCACTTCAAATATACTTCAGAAATATTAATTTCCATATATATTAATTAATTAGCATGATAATTAAAAAAAAATACTTGAAACCAAATATATATACGGATACTATTTCTTCCTAAAGTATGCATTTAAATTTCCTACTCAGTTACTGCTCTAATTCCAATCATCACGTAATTCTTTGATTGGAAAGTACGTTCCCAATGGCAGAAACGGAAAAGGAAACAGAAAAAATGAGTCAAAGGTGAGGTCACCAAAGAAAAGATGCACGAGGGAATCAAATATTAGTAGATTAAAGAAAAAAGTTTCTAAAGGAATACAGTATCTCATTCAAAGAGATTGTTCATGTTTGATCCCCAAAAAAAAAAAAGTGAGATTGTTCATGCATCTATTTTTCTCCACCTAATTCTTAAAATATATATATGTTGAATATCAGTTTTTGAATCTGATCGATCACTTTGACCCTTGGAAAATGATTAGTCTTGGTTACGTGGAAGAAAAGCTTACCTCAGTAAGGCTTTAGCTCATTGACAAATTTCGGAACATATTTCTCTGAATAATCAATTTGCTTTTACGTGACGGCAACTTGATTTTGATTGTTCTCTCTCTCTCTCTCTCTCTCTCTCTCTTTCTCTCTCTTTATACATACATATATATATATATATATATAGGGCAGCTTCATTGCATGGAATATTTAAACAGACAAAACCCATATTTTTAATCAATTAAACTTTCTACATTTTAGACAACTTTATGATATACAAATATTAGCTTGAAAAGTGAATGAAATAGTACGGGTTAATGACATATTAAAGCCGTGTAATTCCTTTTGCAAATTAAAGTTTTGTTTCTGTTATTTTTGGAGGTAATATCTTTTATCCTTTTTATATCTTTCTTTTCACGTAAAATTTATTAAAAATTAATTATATAAATATATATATATATATGAATATTTGACTTAATAATTAATTCATGATCTCTTATTAAAAAGAATACACTTCGAATCTTCTATCCAAATCACAAAATAATAAATAAAAATATTTAACCATATATAAGCACATCATGATTGTATTTAAAGGTGTTCATAGGTGAGGTCAGGCTCATACTTAATATTAATATCTTATATACTTACTCAAATTTGATGTAACTTAAAATTTTGAATTTCAAAAATTTTATCATATCCAACTCAAATTAAAAAAATAAATCTTAAACCCACCCATTAATATTAATTTATATAATAAAAAATTTAAAAAATATAATTGTAGACACCCAATTGGGTCCGGGCTCAGATCAATTGGGCCTGGCCCAAATGGGTAAGGCCCATTTCAATCATGTATTTTTTTTTTCTTTTTCTTCTTTTGTATTTTATGTATTTTATTATTATTATTATTATGTATATCTTTGTGTATTTATTTTTATTTAGATTAGATTTATATGTATTGTATGTATATAGTTATATATTTATTATTATTATTATTATTTTTTTGTAATATATTTTTGGGTTTATCTTATGTTATTTTTTTTATTATCTGTTAATTTTATCTGATTTTTTTTTCTGAATTATCTGATATTATTTTTTTATTTTTATACTATCATATCTTTTGATTATCTAGTATTTTTTTATTTATTTTGATTTTAATTCTGGATGGCTAAGATTCAAAGTTGAAGAATCCCACTCTGGAGGGGAATTCAATCAGAAGAGTCCAGTTGGATTCAAAGACTGAATTCCCGTCCAAGGAGGAATTGGGATTGATCAGGAACTCCTGATCAACCCCTATAAAAGGGATCCCCCTGGAACAGAGGAAAACACAGAAAACAGTAAGCAAAGCTACTGATTTGAGAGAAAAGGAGGCGTATAGGAAGCTAGAAAAAGTTTAGGAGTGTTCTGGGAGTGAGAAAAATTTTTAGAGATTTTTGGCGAAAATTTTTTCTGGAAATTTCTGGGAAATTTCCAGAATCCGGCGAAAATTCCGACGAAATTTGAATTTTTCGACGACAATTCCGGCGAACATTGAAGTTTCCGGCGACCTACCCAGTTTCCGGCGAAGAATCCCAGAAACCGGCGATCTTCCGGCCAACTTTCGACGAAATTTCCAGATTCCGGTGACATTTTCCAGAATCCGGCACCGGTGTTCTTCGGTTTTTAGAGAGAAGGGAGAGAAAAAGGGAAGAAGAGAGAGAGAGGGAGGAGCGTTCTGCCGAAAAACGAAGGGGATTGCCTTTTATACCCTCTCAAAACGACGTCGTTTTGGCCTTAAGTAACCAGAGGATCCGCGCGTTTTGCCGAACCCGACCCGACTTGGGCGTCGACCCGCTTTCTGACCCGGCGTGCCAGCCCCCTCCGAGCCGAGCCGAGCGCGATCCGAGCCGCTCCAGGTTTTTTTTTTTTTTTGAATTTTTTTTATTTCTTTGTTTATTTGTTTATTTTATTTTTTATTTATTAGATTAGGTTATGTAATATTCTTTTTTTTATTTTTATTATTTTATTTTCTTTAAATAAAATAAAAAATTCCAAAAAAAAATATTTTTAGGGAAAAGTTGAAAGTATCAATTTTCCTTAGAAATAAATTTCCAAAAAATATTTTTGGGGGAAAAGTTGAAAGTATCAATTTTCCTCAGAAATAAATTTCAAAAAAAAATATTTTAGGGAAAAGTTGAAAGTATCAATTTTCCTTAAGAATAAATTTCCAAAAAATATTTTTAGGGAAAAGTTGAAAGTATCAATTTTCCTTAAAAGAAAATAAATTTCCAAAAAAAAAATATTTTTAGGGAAAAGTTGAAAGTATCAATTTTCCTTAGAAATAAATTTCCAAAAAATATTTTTGGGGAAGAGTTGAAAGTATCAATTTTCCTCAGAAATAAATTTAAAAAAAAAATATTTTTAGGGAAAAGTTGAAAGTATCAATTTTCCTTGAAAATCAAAATTTCAAAAAAAATATTTTTGGGGAAAAGTTGAAAGTATCAATTTTCCTTGAAAATCGAAATTTCCAAAAAAATATTTTTGGGGAAAAGTTGAAAGTATCAATTTTCCCTACAAAAAAAAATCATTCTTTCCTTCCTTTCTATCTTAATTTTGATTTAAATAATCCGACGACGGAGCCTCTGCAAGTGAAACAGTAGTTTTTCTTGCATACTCTTGAGGTGAGGGAATTTTTTCAATTTTCTGCTAAAAGTATTAAAGTCAATTGAGAATAATTTTCAATAATTAACTACTTGGTAAAATTTTAAGGCTTTTGGATAACACAAATTTCAGCTGGTACCATCTTTTGATGGGCGTTGTGAGGGTGCTATAACCTTCCTCACATGTAACCGAACTCCCGAACCCTGTTCTGGTTTGTAGACCCGAACCTATTCTTTTAGGGGCCCTTAAATTTAGGTGTTCCCTAAAAGGACAGATTCCATAGGTGGCCAATCGCACCTAGATAAAAAAAAAGATTGGTGGCGACTCCCTGAAAGTCAATGTCTAGCGATAGATCCCCGGATCTAGA